AACAAAATCGCTGTCCAGACTTTGTTGTAGGATCTCTAGCGCAGACGAGAAAAGAAAAGAAGAAGAAGAAAGGATTCCATTCTGGGACCCAAGACCGCGTTACCCAAACGGAATGAACGTGCGGCGAAGCCGATCGCGTCATCGCGTGTCGTGCACCGCCTCGTGTGCCACGGATGCGAGCGTGCAAGGTAACGTGCTCGATCGGCACCGCTTTCGTGCATCCGAGCAGGAGAGCGTGCTCGCGCGCGCGCGCGCACACACGCACATATCCGCCTTCATCGGTATGTAGCAGAACGGCTGCTGCGAGATGAGCGGATAAACTCTAAAGCGGGAGGAGAAAAAGAAGAATCAGTACTCACCCTCCCCGTCTCTGTCCGGCGCGGCGGCTGCTCGTCGCTCGTATCCGTTAATCGTAGCGGCGGCAACTTCACGCCGTACTACTCTCACGGGCACCTTCCGTTCGCCCTCCTCTCTCGTCCCGTATACTCTCCTCTTGTTGCTCTCCCCGTGTCGCCGACCACAAAGGACGCCGCACGAACGGCCGCTGCGACACTATCGCGGTTTTACTATACGAGACCTCGCCTCTCGTTCTCGCACTAATCTCGGCACTCCCGAAAACTTCCGGACCTTCCGACGAGCGCGCGTTTCGGCCCGCGTCGTTCGAAAACGTGGCGCACGGCGTCACATTATCCCGCGCACTGAGAACACATAATGCACACACAGATCACGGGCGGAGCTTCGTTGTTGACACTAATTAATTGTAAGGATTATTCCGAGAGAAGCCGGTCGCGGAACTCGGAAGATTAACGCGCGACGAAGGAAAAACGCGCGAGGACTTCTGTGTTACTTTGACCGCACGCGCGCGAGCGTGACAATAACGAAGTAATGCGCGAAATGGGATACAGTACCGTCGCACCGTCACGGTGTACCGTGATATACGCAACGTACTTCACGTAGGAACGCGTTCCCACGAGGGAACGAACTCTCTCAAGCACTGGTACAAGGAGCCGAACAAACCCGACGAAGGATCTAGCTCGTGCGATCTCTCGGTCAAAGTGAGTAAGAGAGAGAGAGAGAGAGAGGGGGGAAGGGAGGGAGAGATCGACGTAACGCGACGCAAAGAAAGAATGACACAACCTACACGCGCTGCTGACTGCGGCAGACTGAGCGTCGTACACGACCGAAGTGCGCGCTCGCGACTGGCGCGCTCCTAGCGGCCAAAAGCGACCAGGACGACGACGCGCCTTTGACCGGTCTTTGCGCTCCGATTCGCATCGGGAATTGGAGTAACGTACGTACGAGTGCAAGGGTGAGTACGCGTGGATTTTCCTAATATCTCTGAATGTTCTCTCTTCAGCTCCGAGTGAAGAAACATCTGGTAAAAAGATCGACAAGACATCGGTCAATAAACGCATGTAATATCAAATTGCTCGAGGATTCGTATCTAATATAATGGAATTCCTTCGCCGATTTTAAATTGATTATTTCTCAACGAAAGGAACGCCCGAAGTGATCTATTTCGGTGAGTACGAATCACTTAATCCTTTGTTATTCGCGTGGAGTGTCCGGGACTTTGGGTTTATAAATTTGTTAAATATATATAATGCTATTTATATACATCACTTTTGTTAAACACAAGTAATAATAATGTTACATATCTATGTAAAACTAAAATATGTAGTAACTTTTAATCAATATTTGTTTTAATAGTACTAAATTTATTAAATGTAAAAATGTATTTATTCGGTACAAGAACCATTAATTTGATTTAATCATTATTTTTTATTAAGTAAATATTTATTTGTTGTAAGTAAATGTTTAACGAATGTTTACTACTATTCGAAAAAATATTTACTAAAATTCAGTAATTTTTGTAATTTATAATTTCTTACTTAATAATATAATATAACAATTGCAACATATGTTATATTGCATTTATATTATTGAATAGGAAATTATAATATTGATGTATTATTAATGTTATTATTACTTTTATTTAATAAGATTATTATTATCATATAGAAAGAATGCTTTTACTAAAGTAAAGTTAAAAATTTAGTACAAATCTGAAAATAATTTTGTTGGACCATCAAAATAATTATATAGGATACTGAAGTGATGAACAATACTGTAAAAAATATTTTGATATTCTAGCAATCAATTCGAACGTCTACATAATTATTTACCTATAATCTAATTTTTTAGATACTTCAGTAACTATTTTCTCTGATTCTCTATAGATTTAACACAAATTGTTTCCCAATTTTTAAAAGAATTTACATTTATCTCTATCTGAAAAATGTATAAAATATTATCAATCTTTATTTAATTGTGAATCTTAAAGAGAACAATGAAAATTGAGATAAATGTAATGCCGCAATGAGGTGTCAGAAACACCCTACGCAAATAATTACGTTAAAAAAACTTCTGGAGCAATGCAGTTAATAAAGCTGCATTTACGGATCTCTCGCGATTCTATGCAAAGTCAATTAATTGTGGAAATCGTCGCTTAGAATAATATTCCGTTGTTTACGACGAGAATTATACACATAATAAGTATATACTGCGCATTTCTAATCTTTTCTAATCTTAGCATCAGTGCTCAGTTAGAAAGAATTGACTTATATTAGCATTTCTCTTCAACTTGATACTTTAGAAAGAGAATGAGAGAGAGAACGAGAGAGAGAGAGAGAGAGAGAGAGAGAGAGAGAGAGAGAGAGAGACAGAGAGGGACGATTCAAACAACCTCACTCTTTCTAAGCCAATAGTAATAGTTTCATAGAAGCAATCTATTCTTATTGCATCTATTTAATGGAATTATTATCAACAACGTCGCCAACAAAATACACTTAAACATCAAATAAGGAATGAATAAATTCTATCGATTAAATCTCGACATTAAATTTAGATTTAATTTAAATTTAATTTCAATATTTTAATATGTGCGTATTGCTATTTGTTCATAATAATTTATATATTTAATAACCTATGTTTACGCAAACTAGAGACTCACTATATAAATGTGAAACAAAACTCATGTAAAACAAAACTATTCATTAATAAACGTATGTGTATCTTTAATCGCACAAAATATAATTATTAATTAATGAACCGGGAAAAACAGCGAATTGCAGGTAACGTTTTTAATGTTGAGCGATGTTAAACGTTTATTATCAGACTTTACATATTACAATGTAGTTAAGTTTGTATGTAAAGCGTAATTCCATGCATTGCGAATATAGGAGCGATTAATTAAACTTCGAGTCTCCTGCAAACGAATAACACAATGTGCAGCACGGTTGCATTGCTGACGGAAACAAGTTAGATGTTTTATCAGAGCGCTGAATCTATCTCATTAAAAGGGTGTAATGAATAAAATATTCTTACTATATATCTTGATATTGCAAGTAAATACAGTCTAAATAGTTTATCGACTCCTTTCGAAATTTTGCCTCGCGTGTCTTATCTCGTTCTTTTCCCACAGACATATAGATTTCTTATTAATGAAGTTTTAATGAGATTTGACATAAGAGTTTAATCAGAGTAATAAATTCTATCTTTTGTTTTAACGATCTTTCCATCATTTTGTAGAAAATACAATGTAACCAATTTAACGATCGTATGAAAATTGAATAATGGAGAGGCGCGTGTGAAACAATGCCCTGGCAATTGATTTTCACATTTTCAGTAATTGATATACAGAGTACACATCAATTACTGAAATTTCTATATATTTTAATTTTTTTCTTTCTTTTACCAATTACAATCAAATTAAATGATTATGGATATGAACAAAGAAATTTTTTTACGGATATTACGGATATATTGCTCTTATAATTTTTAACGTGTTATTTTCAAACAAAAATAATTTTTTTCTTAATAACACACTAATTAATACATTGTTGCTAAGTTATTATACCATTCGTCAAAGTTCCGTGTTGCAATGATACTTCCCTTCCCAATATAATAATGTTCAAATTTTATTCTGACATAACTACTGAGTGGGCGAGATAAATACCATTTATTAGTATCAATTGAATAAATTATGTTTCATTCATCACGCTCTCCATTCCCATCGTTTATCTCCCTGCCTCTTTATTATCCTCTTCTAATTCTTTCCACCCATTTACCTTCTCCGTTTTCGCTTTAAGCATACAGTATTTGATGTAGTGAATAATAAACATTTGAAGCGTTCCAATTTAAAGAAAAATAAAATTAATACAGTGCACAAAGGAACATATTTTATTTTTATGATATCGAGTTTGAATTATATTTAGATACATTTAATTGTCTACATAAGTTAAAAATTTTATTTAGTTTTTATTTTTGCTACATCATTTAACTTTTATACTTTGAACATTAAAAACTAATATTCTCATTATTTATCTACATATGTGTGTGTGTGTGTGTGTGTGTGTGTGTGTGCGTGCGTGTGTGTGTGTGTGTGCGCGCGTGCGTGTGTGCGTGTGTGCGTGTGTGCGTGTTGCATACATATATATAATATATATACATATATGTATGTATATCCATATACATGCATACATTTAATTGTAGAAGATAATTAGTTATTGCTTATACAATAAATGAGTTGATGTCAAATTGAGATAATGTTTAATGACAGATATATGATAAATCAATAAATGTATTAAATTTCCGCCATAGACGTTAATTTAATTATTACAAATTACACGCATTATTTTAAACATTACGGATTAAGTATTATTACATTTAACAGTACAGATAAATAGATACCAAGTTAAATATGAAATTGGTATGGAATCTGTTTTATTTGATATTTTGTGTTACATGAAACATTTATTAAATGTTCGCTTTATTATGCCTAGTTTTAAGAGGTACTAAAATGAGTATATGAAATGGAATTACAATTACACATAAATTCAATATGAAGAGAGATACAATATTTTATATTTCATTAAGAAATTTTCCCCTTTTAACATTAGCATTAATGATTGCTATAAATTTACATAATAAAGTTTATAAATTTTGAATCATTTTTTATTTTATATAGGATCGCAATTTTATAGCTTTACTGGCCAATATTCAGTCTATTTTTAAATATTTGAATCCGTCTTAAATATAGTCTTAAAATGTTATAAACCAATTACGTAATTATATATTAGCATCTTAAAATGTTATTTAAGACGAAACAAGAATAGAGTATCTAAGAATAGAGTATCTAAACCATATTTACAATCTAAAAATAAATATATTGTTATTAAATTGTTTATTTGTTTGTATAATTTACTGTCTACAGTATTCGTTTCATTATCAACGAACGTTATATTGGATGCTTTCTATTTGATGACATAGGTTGATACAAGTATCATCCTATCTTTTTACTCAGAGAATGCCAAAAAAGATAGAGTGATTGTGTCGACTTGTGTTACTAAATGGAAAGCACCCTTGACAAAGAAAACCTCCCATCTACTCATCTCATCTGCTTCTTTAGACAATTTTTTTACACAGAAAATACGAGAATGCATTGATACGCATTACGATTAGAATATAAATATGCTTAGTATTTAATATTCCTTTCTGTCAGTTCTATAGTCAGTATAGTAAACCAATATATGTCATTGAAATTTAATCGAACCAGCGAAACGGCTGGACACTGTGACACAAAGAATGTATGCATATATTCGTATGCGAGTGAGTTAATAATAAAGTGTCGATAGCAGAAATATGATAGAGGAGAGCTAAGGGAGACATGTCGTGCAATTCAGAATAGCTTTCATATATAAGATGTACATCATCAGAGTATATACATATATATATATACATATATATA